GGAAAAATTGGTTTTGGCTAGCTTTCCTTTGCGTGTTGTCAAATTTGCATGTACTAGCCAAGCTGAGGAAAACACCCAGTCAGAGGAAATGGTGGTCTTGCACTTTGTGTCGCGGACCTCAAGCAATAGTTTTCCCTCCCTGGCAAAAATCCATTGTGCTTGCTGAGCTGGCTCTTGATCTTTGTACGAACGACCAAACTTATTGCTGGCGAACAAACTACCCGAACAAAAATTGTGAGAACCACAAAAGACCCACTGCAATCGCTCCAGTTCCACTAGCCAGAGCCTTCTCGCGCGCAGGTGGACACGTGGCTTCAGCTTTGGTCGCCCCTGGCTGGCCAGCGTGTTGGCTGGCTGGGGGCGTTAGGGCACAACGACGTCACCATAATTTCGTAATTTCGACGACGTCACTAAATTCAGTTTTTGAATTTAACGAAATTAACCGACGACCCAGGAATTATTTTATATTGCCCAGATCAATGCTCCAACCCCTCCGCTTCTTTGCGTCTTCTTCGCACCGTCAGAGACGGTCTGAAGTTCCCACGTGTGTACGCGAGGAACACCTCGATGACGGCGCAAGCAACGCCGCTCCAGACGGCCACGATGTGCGGGCAAATTTTGGTGAACGTCTTTCAGACGATCGCGATCTTGGGCATGATGACCGTGGCGTGGCCGGAAATCTTCCAGACCACCTCCAAGAGCTTCAAGGCCTGGCGCGTCAAGCTACACGGTATTACGGAAAAGAAACGAACGGAAGAAGGGTGGCTGGATCCTGAGGTAGCTACAGGGGTGGTTCACTCCCTCATTCCCTACTAAGCACGAGTCTGTTTTATGGGTGGACTAGGGGTTGCTTGAAGGCGTTGCTGGTTTTATTTTTGTGGCCACCCCGAAAAAGGAACGTTGGATGAGGATGTTGCACGGTGAAAGTTTGGGCTGTTCTGGGCCTGGGGTCATGCCGTTTTGGGTGATCTCGAATGAGAATTGTTTGGTTTGGATTTAGGTCCAGGTTTTCGATTTGTGTCGGCAAAGCGCACCTGCATACATGAGAGTGCACCTGGACCTATAATATAGAAGCATGCAGCATGCACTTCAAACATTGCGCAGCGCTATTAGCACACAGGTTCGAAGCATGAGTGTTCCAATTGGTGTAGATTTTCCGAGGGAAGGTGAAGTCGGATGACGGATGTTCCAAATGCACGGAATTGATTGATGTTCTAAGTGCATCTAGCTGCCGGTGCCGCTTGGATGAACGTTTTCCAGAGCTATTTTCCCATTGGAGGCTGTAGATAGGATCACAACCGCTGAAGGGTCCTTTGCCATTTGTGAGTGCATCTCTTCCCATCGACAGAGACCCCGAAAACAGCGAACAAAAACACTCTTCCTGCAGCGAAGCCAACATGGCATCAATCCACTCAATGCACTCCCGTTTTTGGGGGACATGCCTCCTTTGCATACTGGTGGGGCCCGCGTGGGGCATGGAATGGGGCTTGGTTCGACGGCAAGACGAGCAGGTTATATCCATCTGGATGTTCAGGGATGCTTATGCATATGGATGCTTCAGGATTGTCCAGAATGGTCGACTGGATTACAGACAGACACACGGACATGTGGCGTGCCACCATGTGGCACGCCACCAGGTGCCACAAAGAGAAACACATGGACATGACTGAACGAACGAGATGGAGATGAGTCTGAACGAATGTTGGACCATCGTCAATGCCCCCAATACCTGAAGGACAGATAAGAGAAGCAGATTGGCTTACTAGTAACAAGAAGCTAATTACTAGTAACAAGTGCATCGCTACTAGTAACAAGGGCATTACTACTAGTAGCGAGAAGCTACCAGTAGCTAAGGGCATTACTATATACCTTAAACATTTCATTCTCATATCGGCCGAAGTCCATGTTCCGCCCATTCCGCAGATGCGAGACCTGACCTGGGGCGGAAAGATAGACCTCTCCAGGTCTTCCTGTTGGATTTGGAAAGCTTCAGCCTGAGCTGCGTGGCCGGAAAATCCAGCCTTCAACAATTTGCTGTGAGTACCCTGCTCTTCCCATGTGCTGCTCTTTGGTTGCTCTTCCTCCAGGCCTGGAGCTTTAACGCTTCAATTCGTTTGAATCGAACGGTGGGCATTTTGGAAGGTGACTGGACACCTATAGCCCTATAGGTGAGGTTGGATTTTCATCGTTCATCGTTCAGCTACATATCCAATGACCACAACACACTCTTCGATGTTCAACCCAGCTCCTGGTGTTCGACTCCTGAATCGGTGCTGCGGTTGTGAGCTGCTGTGTTCGAAGGCAGCGTCGCAATGTTTGCCTGACACCTGGCGCAAATCGCCGCCTGGCAGCACAGCGGCCCTCGGGAGTTGTGTGATATGAAGTGATCAGTGCCTGAAGCATCCCACCGGATGAGAACAGGGGAGACCAATGTGCAACGTTTCTCCGTCCTTGATCTCCCCAACGTTTCAGCCCAACAATCACTGTATTCACAGTGTATCAATCTGTGTCACTGAATCAGGCTGCTTGGATCTACTTAGCAAGACTTGCAAGGAGACTACTTGGTACATGATCTATTACTGGTAGTGTGGTGTTCTCACGTGGTTGACGTGTCGCATGATCAGCTTACAATCAGCACTGGGAAGCTCAAGTGACGATGCGTTTAAATAGTCTAGTCTGAACCCTGCCCTGCCTAATGCCAAACAACACCTTGAATTCGGGGTCACTGGCGGTATACTCCTCAAAGAGAAGGTATTGCTACGATTTGCATTTGCACATGTGAAAAGAATGACACGACTAATGAAACACGCCATTCATTTGGGTTTAAGATGTTTTAAGGAAAACCTGCCTGGGCAAATTGGGGTTGGCATTTTGTAGAGGGGCAATCTGAGTGGTTTGCTGGTACCCACAGCGATTTTCTAGACCCGTAGTCGTCGGCATTCCTGACAGAACAGGCCGTGGGTTTAGGCAATCCATTTTGTAGAACAACATGTGCACCGGGGTATGACGGGGGAAGAAGAATGACGAGGGAAGAATGGAAGAATCATGAAGGAAGGGAGTTCTTGATGGCTGACTTGTATAGAGTTGCATCTCTACAGAATGGATTCGGTACTGCTTGGAGTGCTGGTATATAGGTCATGTCCCCATCAAATCCCTATGAATTGAAAAGCCTGAAGTGTCGGTATGCCACTTTGTAGTGGGTGTCCCTGACCAAAAACAGCCTTTCTGTAGGCTCAGTTTTGACAGGAATGTGATTCTGGAGGTCCATTTGTCGATTCAAAACTGAATGAGGACAACACAACCTCACCCCTCTAATTCGAAAGGGGGATCGATTTTGTATATCTAATCGACTTTGTATATCTATTAGTTTTCTATTTCACCTTCTTGTCCAAGTTATTTGCTCAACCATTGCTGCTAAAACAGCATCTTTGTTTCATTAATAAATGTGTGGCCGGGAGGCCATTTCGGCCATCGCCTCGGACTCCACTGAGGCGCCGTAAGTGGCCCAGAAGCATCAACACCATCGGTGTGTTCCTGGAAGCCGGCTTTGGCACGATGTCTGCGGTGGGACTTCAACCTTTGATGTGCTACTCGCACCCCAGTGGCCTTTACAGTGTCTTGAAGTTTCCCAACGTCATCTGTCAAAGCGGCGACCATGTGACCTGGTCAAACACCCAGTTGGTGGCGGTTCAAAAACGCGCTGTTCTGCGGGTTGCTTCGATGTTCCCCACAGAAGCGCCTTTTCTGTGCCACTTTAAAATCCTTTTTCTCAACTCCTACGGAGCTTAAAACGTCAGGTGGCCATGGTCATCCTGGGCGTGGCACTGCTGTGCTTTGCACTGGCTTTCTTTTCCGCCTGTGTGATGGCCTGCTGGAAGATGCCATCGTGGAGTTTAACCGATGGACATGAGCCCCTCGCCGCCGATGCCGGCGCCGATGCCACCGGCAGAGCCATCCAGTCCCAAACACGACCCATGGGACTGCCGACTGCCGATCAGTTGGGGTGGTGCTAGGGGGGTCAATGGGGCGGCAGTCCTATGGCAGTCCCCATGGAGTGTATGGGAGAGAGAAGAAAAGCTCCGCCGTTTGGGCGACAAAAAAACACGGACCAAGACCACGCCGCTGTTCCACCGATTCTTCACACCGAAGGTGGATTTTTCATAAGGAGGCCCCCAACCAACGGGTCTTGATCTATTCTTTCGGGGGTCTTTGGGAGGACTCCCTGTTTCAAAAGCACACCCACTTCTTCGCAAAGGTCCGAGAAGCGCTCTCAAATCGCTTCATCAGGACTATACTCTTCATGTGAAAAACATGGGTCTTACCAACCCTGTCAGGTTGGTGCAAAGCTTCCGCTTTTTGACCTCCCAGTTTCGCATGGACGCCTGGTGGTTTGGAGTTCTTCTCCCTTTGCGTGGCTTCTTCTTGAGCTTGTCTGTTGCGGTGGCCACAGATTTGCCGCCGGCACAAGCGGCAGCTGCTGCGGTGGTCCTGGCAATCTATGCTCCATTCCAGATGCGTTGGTGGCCATGGAAGGTGCCATACATCAATCAGGCAGACCTGTGCCTTCGACGGAATGAATCACTTGAACGACGTGAGGCTGATCGTGTTTCCTTGGTCTTTGAACGAAGTGATCAATGCTGCAGTCAATGTTTCCTTGTAAAGCTAAGGTGGATGAATATTATGCTTCTTCTCTTGGTAAACAGCTCAGTGGTGGTAGAAGGCAACACTTCAGTGGAATGGAGGGAATTTGGTCAGACCTATGCTATGTCGAATCTTGCCTGTTTAGTTTGATTCAGTCATGTTGCCTTTAGGATTTCCAGGCATGAGCCACCTGTTTTGAAACATGTTTGATTTGGGTCCTCTTGTGTACTATCATGCAAACCTTTTTGTGTTCGGTCGCTTCCAAAAACTCCCGCATCGGTTGAGGATCATGGCATGTGTTGCTTTTGGTGCATCTTTCATGCTGGTCCGAACCCTGATGGAGCTGTTGCAGAGGCATGTGCTGAAGATTGGAGGATGCCAGGATATGCTTTAACAAATTGCTTGGAGGTGGAATGAGGTGGATAGTGATTTTAGGGCGGCTTGCGGGAGCTGGTTGTGTATTGGCTTTGCGTGGTTTCTTCAATATTTATGGGTGTTGGCTTTGTTCAAGAAGCTCACAATAGGGGAGGTGATTGAATTGTATGTGGTTGTAGTTGCTCAACTATTCAGGAGACTTCACACCAGTCACCCTCCTAGGTGCTCGGGCACCCTGAGGCCTCAGACACCTCCCAGAGTCCTTTTCCATGCCGCCGGACAAAGTCAAAGAACAATTTCCTCCACAAGACCCTGGTTTGTGCTTTAAGCATGTTTGAGGCACCCAGAAGAAAAGAAGCAAAAACCGACAAACAACGTACATAGCATAAACCAGACACAGGTAACCACTAGTTTTCAGAATTCGATCCAGCAGATCCAGCAGAGAAGTTGACCACCTCAATCGGAAGGAACCGATCGACCGGACGACACCGTCTCCATCGGACGACGGCCGGGACGACGGCCTGGACGGCCTGCCGGCTGAGGCGATGAATGGATCGACCCGGCCTGCAAGGCGATCAGCAAGAAGGCCTCACAAGCCTTACACCACTGTGCTGAACAGCTGCTACTTGGGCGATAAACTCCGACATGAGCTATGAAGATTCAAACAAGTGATGTAGGGGGGGTTCGGGGGGGCAGCGGAAGTGGACGGAAGTGAGTGAGTGCAGGAGTTGCGAAATCTGATTCCCGGGCCTTTGGCACGAATCACATACTGACGACTTGCACCTACAGGTTGGCCCGCGATGGAACAAGAACCATCCACCAGCCATTGCATCGGTTGTGAGCTTTGCAGTCGCGCACGGATTTGGGAAATTGTATTATAGAGCTTCTGATTGATCTGAAGTTGAAGAACTTGGTCCTGGAATGTTTCGGCTTTGATCCCCGCTGCGCTACTTATATAGGTTTTGCTTTTGCCGAGGTTTCAAGGATTGGGCACCCAGAACGTACGTGTTGCTTCGTGTTCGGAACTTCTGTGACGAAGCCGCTCTTGCTAAGAGCGGAGATGGTGAAGACACACATATTATATATATATGTGTTTTGTTGTTCTGCGTCGTCGTTCTTTGACTGGTGTCGTCGTAGTAGCAGTTGCAATGCTCACTTGGTGCAGTGGGTGTTTGATGGTATGTTTTTGAAGTATTATTTAGCTTGTTTTTTGTTTTGAGCATCTCGCCAGCCAATCAAACGTAGTCAGTTATATAATCAGTTACGGTGTTCAATTACGGTGAAAGCCGGAGCTTTTTATGTGCTCTCATATCCATTTGTTTGTGTGCTCTCCTGTGTGCGCTCAATATGCGTGATACATGTGTTATCATGTGTGTGTGCTTTAATATGCATGTTTCGATGTGTGCATGTGTATATTGCACACACTTCGAACTTGGATTTTCAGTTAACGCAATCTCCCGAGGAAAGGAATGGCTCAACGGTAAGGTGGAAAGTCAGCGCAATTGTAGATGTTTCAACAAAAAAAGTTTTCATACGTGACTGCGGAAAGCGCACAGCGGCAAAACGTCTGCGGTGGGAAAACCTGTTTGGGGGTGGAAGCATGAAGAACCATGAATCAAATCGTGGAAAAGTAGGGTGACAGCTTGTGGAAAAAACTCGGCAGGTACACAATGCGGCGTCCCGCATTGCTTCACGACCGATCCATCACTGTCTTCGTTGGGCAGTGAGTGATGGTGGTCCACTGCCCCCCTGCCTATGAGGAAAAGTGTTGGAAGACCCTTTTTCCAGGGT